AGTGCTCCTAATCTCAGCTTGTTACCTATATAAAAGACACCTGTTGACAGAAGTAATTAATCAGATCCCAAACTCTCCACAATGGCCCAGATCAAAGAGCTGTCCAAGGATGTCAGGGACACGTTTGTAGACCTACACAAGGCTGGAATGGGCTATAAGACTATTGCAAAGCAGCTTGATGAGAAGATGACAATGGTGCGATTATTCACAAATGGAAGAAACACAAAATAACTATCAATTTCCCTCGATCTGGGGCTCCCTGCAAGATTTCACCTCATGGAGTTTCAATGATCATGAGAATGGTGAGGAATCAGTCCAGAACTACACGGGAGCATCTTGTCAATGATCTCAAGGCAGCTGGGACCATAGTCACAAAAAAACCAATTGGTAACACACTATGCCTTGAGAGCTGAAATCCTGCAGCACCTCCAATGTCCCCCTGCTCAAGAAACCACATGTACAGGCCCATCTGAATTTTGCCAATGAACATCTGAATGATTCAGAGGAGAACTGAGTGAAAGTGTTGGGGTCAGATGAGACCAAATCAAGCTCTTTGGCATCAACTCAACATGCTGTGTTTGGAGGAGGAATGCTGCCTGTGACCCGAAGAACACCATCCCCACCATCAAACATGGATTTAGAAACATTATGCTTTGGGGTGTTTTTCTGCTAAGGGGACAGGACAACTTCACCGCATCAAAGGGACGATGGACCATCAAATCTCGGGTGAGAACCTCCTTCCCTCAGTCAGGGCATTGAAAATGGGTCGTGAATGGGTATTCACCATGACAGTGACCCAAAACACACGGTCAAGGCAACAAAGAAGTGGCTCAAGAAGAAGCACATTAAGGTCCTGAAGTGGCCTAGCCAGTCTCCAGACCTTAATCCCGTAGAAAATTTGTGGAGGGAGCTGATGGTTTGAGCTGCCAAACGTCAGCCTCGAAACCATAATGACTTGGAGACGATCTGCAAAGAGGAGTGGGACAAAATCCTTCCTGAGATGTGTGCAAACCTGCTGGCCAACTATAAGAAACGTCTGACAAGGATTTTGCCACTAAGTACTAAGTCATGTTTTGCGAAGGGGTCAAATTCTTATTTCACTCATTAAAATGCAAATTAATTTATAACTTTTTTGAAATGCGTTTTTGTAGATTTTTTTGCAGTTATTCTGTCTCTCACTGTTAAAATAAATCCACCATTAAAATTATAGACTGATCATTTCTTTGTCAGTGGGCATACGTACAAAATCAGCAGGGGATCAAATACATTTTTCCCTCACTGTACTTGGGTTGTATTTTTAAATAGGGGCTAAGAAGTAGTTTAAAAAGAAAACATACAGTATTGCCTTACTTGCATCGTGACTGAACTGGAAACTAATTTCATATACCTCTGCTTAACTTAACTAACAATTTTACAATAGTATTTCAATCCACTTATTTTTATTAAAATCAAACAAAATGCATTTTATAATATAGAGTAGGTTAGAACACTTAATAGTACCTATGTACCATGCAGCATTCCCTGCTAATGATAAGGACACATTATCCTGTCAGTTTAGGCAGATTTTGGTAACCGATACCCAATTTTGTCCCATGTTCTCACCCTATTCTATGCAAGATAGGATATTTAAAGACTACATTGCCAGATACCCATTTAGGAAGTTCACAAATGGGCTGAAATGAAGGGGAAGAAAGAGAAAATTGGACCTGAATGGTGTCGATGGAAAAGAATGATAAATTTAAAGGAAGGACATTATGAACTGGTCATAGAAAGGGTAGAAGTAAGCACAGAATGGGACCTTTAGGCTCCCACCCTTGGCCATGCCTCCTTCTCGAGCTTCCCGCCTCTGCCCATTTGCCTCCAACGTTCCTCCTCGGCTGGCCCTCCCCACCCATTCTCCCTGGCCAATGGATCCCTGGCCCTCCGCCTTGCATTCTTCGGCCTAGTCCTTTTGCTGAGGCCCCCCTTGTTCCGAGACTTTGACCACAAGGGACAGTTAGCCGCCAGCCAATCGGATGGGTGGCAGGCAGCAGCGATGTTGCTCAGAGGGGCAGCATGCGATGGCCGATCACAGGGCCTGTGCTGTGGGACAGCAGGCGAACAGCAGGGCTGGCACAGCTTTTCTGATTGTGAGGGGGGAAAGCCTGGCGTGGGGCAAGAAAGAGACAAACGGCACTGGCGCAGCTTCTCCAATTGGGGGGGGAAGCCTGGCATGGGGCAGGAATGGGGGGGGGGAAGCCTGGTGTAAGGCAGCAGGCCAACTCCCCATTCAGTGTGAGGCCGGAGTCCAGGAGCAGAGGCAATGGAGGAAAGGGTGGAAGAAAAAAAGGAAGCCGGTGCTCTGAAGGCTTTTTTTTTAAACTGCCAAAGGCTCCGGGCAGAGAGGGCAACAGGCAGGCAGCGGTGGGCAGGAGCGTCCCATTTTGACCCCTCCCACCTGGACTCCAGCTTGACAGGCCTCTCTTGCCACAGTTGCTAAGTGAACCAGTGCAGTTGTTAAGTTAGCAACACAGTTAGGAGAATCTGGCTTCCCCATTGACTTTGCTTGTAAGAAAGTTGCAAAAGGGAATCACATGACTCTGGGACACTGCAACCATCATAAATATGAGTCAATTGCCAAGCATCTAAATTTTGATCATGTGACCATGGAGACTGTCATTGCTTTGTTGGATCCTGGTTCAGAGGAGTAGGAGTTGGAACTGGGACTGCCCAACAGGGAGGACAATCCCCTCCGAATGAGTGGAGAGGCCAGGGGCTAAGGACGAGGCAGTCCCAGGATTGTCTAGTAATGGGGGGGAGGGTGTGGCCAACTAGAGAACCACCTGCAGGAGTGGAGCAGCTGCAAAGGGCCAGTGGAGATGACAGGCTCCAGACCACCTCTGACAAGGAACAGCTGCCTTCCCCACCTGATCCGTGGATGAGGAGATGTTGTGGCCTGTCGGTCACCAGAAGACTCAGCAACCAATTCAGATGAGGAAGCACAGGAAAGGGCGCCGGGCTCAGTGTCAGGGCCATCTGAAAGCTCCGACGAAAGAATGGAACTGTCACAGCCAAGGACAGAGGCAGACCCTGGGCCGTTCACCAGCTCTCAGATGGAAAGGTTGAGACTTCCATGCCTTGAAGCAAGTGAGTCAGGAGAGGAGGATCACTTGGGGCCAGTAATTGATGCGTGGGCACGGCGGAAGAGTCACCGCTAACGTAGCCCCACCCTCAGTTGTGCATAAAAGGCAGGGGCTAAGATGAATAGGTGTGGCAGACAACTATTCGTCTTCCTGTTTGGAAGTCCTGACACTTCTCCTTGGAATTTTGCCAGATTTTTCTGCAGATCCTGTGGCGCTGAGTGTGGGTGTATCTTATGTTAAACAATAGCCAACTTGCTTGAAGGACTTTTGGCTGCAAGCATGGTGAAACTGAGAGTAACTCTGGGTATTGGGAGACCCCTACAGGGGAAAAGGGAGCGTGCTCCGTTGTTTGGAGACTGTGAAACTGCTGGCGTTCCTGAAATAAAGGAACATTAGAGACTATTTGGTGTGTCTGTTGTGTTTGGGGAGCCGGGTCAGAACAGGAGAATAGAGTGGAGGGAGGTACAGAAGAGGTTGGTGAAGCTGATTGCGAGGAAGCAGCCCTACCTCTCCTCACAAGGAACACCTGGGGAAGGATGATTGAATCAGATGCTGCAGGAAGATGTGCTTGTCGGGAACACCTGTGCACCTTCTTGGCTTTCATGAACACTGCCTTGTGAATCCTGGATCATGTTTCTTCATTGGACTTCGCTTGTGGACTTTGGAATTGACTGATTTCAGACTTTTGGATCGTGCCTTGTTTTTTGGGAACTCTGGACTATGTTGCAGACTTGGTACTTGGGGTACTGTTACTTCTCTCTTTGCCTCATGGGTTAGCTAGGACTTAGTTTGTGGAACCGGGGAATTCAGACAGAGGAAAACTGAGGGCTGGGGTGAAGCTTCACTGGCACTATTGATGGGTTGTTTGATACTGTGACAAGTGAGCAATAAATGGACTCTATTTAACCTCTACCTTGCCAGCGTGACTTTGTCAGAATAGGGATGCTGCAATGGTTGTAAGTGTGAAAAAGGTCATAAGTCACTTTTTTCACTGCCATTGTTAACTCTGAACGGTCACTTAATGAACTGTTGTAAGTTGAGGACTACCTGTACAGTTTTAAGGGTACATGAGTACATGGACTTGCCCATATCCCTTTTTTGCTCATGAAGCTATTTTATTGGCAAGTAGGGATAACTGAGTTAATAAAAACATTACATACTATATGAAATACCACTATTTGCTATTATTTGCAAAGTTGTGCATTAACTATAATAGGTAATTTTTGGTTTGTTTTTCACAAACTTTAATCCACATAATTACTTAAATTTTAAAACAGCATATTATATAAACATCAGGACAATACGAAAGCTAAAACTTTAGGACCTTCACGGTGAACAGAAATAAATTTAAGCAATCCAATTTTTCTTATATACAGCATTTGTATTTAGTTCATTCTAAACTGAACCAATTTTTATCAGTTTATACATGATATATACAAATACTTTAGCTAATCTCAAAACATGTAATCCCAGAAGTATTTTTCAGAATAGGTAAAGCAAAACAGGAAATGCAGGATGTTTTGTGCTTAGCTGATACTGCCCAGTTTCTCTCTCATAACTGCCTATAGTTTAATGCAGACTGCCCTACTGCAGAAATGCATTTGGTTATAATTTAAAATAATATAGAAATAGTTCTTAAGGAAACTTTGTTCTGTAAGAAAGTTTACGCCATCCAGACTGTTTTTGTACTGAAAGAAAACTATACAGAGATTTTGACTAAATAAATATATTATACTACATTATTTATCTCTATAAATAACATTCATAATTTTTGTAGATCATACTCTTCCTTGAATTTCATACAGCTACAATCTGAAAATGAGTGGCACAAATCTTTGGTATATTAAATGCTCAACAAAAAAATAATTGTGTCAAAAATTAAATTGTAACTATCACCATCACGTAAATGGTTTTATTTTACAGGATTTTTTTTTTAAACTAAGCATTTACATCTGGTGCAGTAGTCTTAGGGCAAGTCCATTACTTATCAGGTGAATTTACTTTTTAATTACAGATGTATGTTTTTTTCACAAAACTCAGAAGAGGATCCTGAAATTACTATAAAAGTCCAGCCAAACTGTTAATATTTTGTTAATTCAATGCCATTTTGCCAGGGTTCTACATTAATGAATATTTGTATTCAGTCTTGATCAGAAACATGCTGTACTTCTACTTCTACTGTTTGAATAGCTTCTGTAACCTCTGCCACTTTCTGTCCTTGCTGTTGTGCTAATACATAATTGACAACTTGCATGATACTTTGGTCAGAAAGAGTAGAAACTGTTGAACACTCTTCAGTAGCTGCAACAGTGTCAAGTGTTTCTTCAGTGATTACTACAGTCTCGATCTCTTCGGTACAGACCTCTGTTTCCTGTTCTGGCACATCAGAGGTTAAAATACTGATGGCATGTTCGACTTGAGTCCCCTGATTATGAAACTGAAGAGTGTCCTTTTCCAGCATGATTTTACAAGGTACATAATCCCGATGAAATTTAGTCATGTGCTTTCTTAAGGTACGGGCATCTATGTAGGCTTCATTGCATATTGAACACACATAAGGTCTTTCTCCAGTGTGTGACCTTACATGACGTTTTAAGGAACGTGCATCAGCCCATGCAACACCACAAGTTAGACACTCAAAAGGTTTAACACCTATTCAACAGAAACAGAAAGCATTTACTAATCTTTAAAAGTCTGAACATTACTATAAAAACGATTAACATAAGATTTTCTCACAGCCAGTAAGTTCATTATAATATAAGCCTTTATATAGTCATTTTGCATAGAGACATTGCTTTGAAATTTTAAATCCAGGATATTTGGGGTTAATAAATATTTATTGGTGTTAAAACACAGAAAAATGGCATTACTTCCCATCTATTTGCATGTTATTGTGATTATCATTTAAAAAGCTAGTTTTAGCAAGATAAAAAGGCAATATCAAGTTTCAAATACAACATATTAATATCTTTTCAGATACGTAATTTGTAATTAGCTAATTATCTTTGCCTTCAGTCAGAGATGTAGAAATTAATATGGTGCAAGGACTGGATTCTGTTCTCAACAGATTCTATAAATTAAGTTTAATCTTGTAAATCATGAGATTTGTGGGGTGGGCTAGGAATCTGTCATCTATTTTTGCCATACAAAAGTGAAAGAAAATAATAAGGTAATTGCAAACACAGCTTATCTGTTTCAGCTCTCTTTCATCTTTCCTAAAGATACAGGATGGCTAAAGCGGAACCATGTTTATACGCCATATCTTTATTATTTAATCATTAAATGTAAACACTGCCTAATCCAAGTTAAAACCATTTGAAATAAATACTTAAATAATAAAAAAGCCATTGAAATGGGAAAAATACCATAATAAACAAAAATAAAGGATAAAGATGGCAAAATCAAAACTAGAGAGAAATTAAAAAGAAATAGACCCACACAAACGAAATCTACCAAATCTACCAAAGAATAACATTCATTTCTATCATGCTGCCACTGACTCTGAATGATTTATATGAGACAGAAACATGAATATGTTTCAGGCTAGCACTGATGATGTTACCAAGTTTGGATAATGAAATGTCTGCAAGAAAACAACCAAACGTAGAGAGCACCAAGGACCCCTCAAAATAAACATATTCACAGTAAGTCTTAACAGAAAACAATTTGAAACAAAATAAAATAAACCATAAAGTAAGCCAAATGAAAGTAGCAGTAAAAAGTAACAATTAGGTTAAAAGTTAAAAAGATTACTAAACAAGCTAGGTAGTTAGAACACATATTTGAATTCAACAAGAAGGATGTCATGACCCTGCTGGACTTGTCTTTCATTAGAAATGGGAAGAGGCAGAGGAAGTAGAGTCAGAGATTCAGCTCTGCCATGATTACCTTGTCGGGCTGTGTTTAGAGGTATAGATTCTAGTCCACCTTGTCTCTCATCTCCCTTGGTTTTATTGTTTGTTTATTGAATCCTTGTCTTAACCTGTGCCAAGTCTTGACTACATTACAGCTGTCATCTTTAGCTATAGAGAAAAGGAACTCTTTCCACCAAAACTTTCTACCCAATTTGTATATTTCTGGATTGTGGCAAGCAGCAGCTTGCTATCTTGTTGGCTGGCACTGAAAAGAGGAGGCAATTTGATCTTTAGAAGGGACTGTTCCAGAGAATTGCCACTGCAGAACAGTAGCTCCAGCCTCCACTTTCCCTCACTTCCTAAAAGTGGGGAACTGAGCATTTCTCCTTGAATGACCTAACAGGTTGGGACAATTCAGGTTTCGTATAAAGTTAGGTACATCTCTTTTTTTCCGTCAACTTTAAAACCTTCTAAGTTTAAAATTAAATACCAGTTTTGTGAGTGTCCTTCATTCCTTTAGAGAGGGTGTAATTCAATTTTTTTTAAGGAACATATGACTTGCTCCCATGATGTATTCCTAATATGCTTTTATTCTGTAAGGCTGGTGTAATGAAAACCAAAAGTTATTTTAAACATTTCTGAACATTGGTTAAACTTATTATTTTCCCCTGTGGGCTTAATACCTCTTATTTTAAGTGATGACTATGTTTCATCTTGGGATAAGCCATTGCATGAGAAACTGAAATGCTAGGGTTTCTCACTTAATGCAATCCTGAGGATGGGATATGAACAATGGTGGGATTCGGCCAGTTCGCACCACTTCAGCAGAACCGGTAGATAATTTTTTGTTACGTAGGCCCAGAATGTAGTTCCGGAAGTGGCATCCACACAGAAAACCAGTTGTTCACATATCTGAATCCCACCACTAGATATGAAGTTGCAGGGGCAGCTTCTAGACCAGAGGTAGGCAACCTCGGCTCTTTTATGACTCATGGACTTCAACTCCCAGAATTCCTGAGTCAGCTATGCTGACTCAGGAATTCTGGGAGTTGAAGTCCATGAGTCATAAAAGAGCCGAGGTTGCCTACCCCTGTTCTAGACCATACATCAAAGATATGGAAGCCTAATTGGATCTGGCTACGATACCCAGAGACGTGTTTTGGGACACTCATTTATCTTTTTCAAGCTAAATAACTGCTCCCTATTTCAGAAGCACCCTATCCCTGGTAAGATTTAGTGATCTCCCAACAGCTGTTCCCAGAAGGAAACTACAGGATATCACATTTGAACAAAGACTTTGCCGCTGTGGTGAAGAGGTCCCTGAAACACTAACCCATGCCTTTTCTACTGTTTCTATTACAAAGATATCCCCATCAACTCAGATTTGTAGACCACATAGATCCCTTTTATTTACAGTTGCTATTATCTAACCAATATGCTCTTTTTTCTCTTAATGTGACTAAGTTTTATTATTATTGTAAAATAATCACTCCTTTACCACTAGTTTTATTGAGTGTAATTGTGATTTTTATTTGCTGTCTCACACTTTGTTTTACAGGTGGTCTCTGACTGTAATAAATATATTATCTTGAATATCTTTCAGAAAGGTGATATTTTTAAAAATCGGTCTCGTTTCATTTACCTTCATGGTTGTTCATATGTCTTCTGTACTCCCGAAGCTGGGTAAATTTTCTCCCACAATGTTCACAAATACGTTCCAAATTTTGTTTTGCTCTCCCTTTCTTCCCATGAGTGGCTTTTTTAACATGCCTCCTGTACAAAGCTTTTTCATAGAACTCTTTGCCACACACATTGCATCTAAACATGAAGAAAATAACAGCTTGATAAAGTACAAGAATAAAAAAATCCTCACCTTTTAAATCTAGTATTTGAATAGACTAATGTGATAAAAAATGTTAAGATGCTTACCATTTCTGAAAGTAAGGACAAGTAAAAGTGGAGAACTAGTATTAAAAAGCTAATATTTTCTTGAAGGCTCAGAGAGACAATGAGGCCCTTTATATACCTATAAATGATAGTTTTTTTTAAAAAAAAACTCTATAACCATATATAAATACAATAATTAAGGATGCAATATTAGATAGCATACGTTAAATAAAACAATAGAAAATTCCTACTCAGGTATACAGCAATATAGTTTTATCTTGTCTCAGCAATAATGTTTATGACTCAGGAACACCCTTTTTATGAATTCTTTTCTCAGTTCCAATGGCAATAGTCCTCAACTGAAATTTGGGACAGATAAGTTATACAGAGTTCATTAAAAAGACTGCTTTTTCAGTGCCATCTTGCTTTTTCCCTCATCAGCAAACTAGCAATAGCTCTATGCATTTTTGTTGACTAGAACTTTTTGTGCCCAAATAACACAGTGCCCAGCTTCCATTGATACCATATTCTCACTCCACAAGATGGATCTTTTTCTTGTTCCTTGAAAGCAAGCATGATGAAAATTGGATGACAACAGACTGCATTTTTCAGTTACATAAATTAAACAGAAAAGTTTAGAGATCAAGAATGTTTTCTTATGGAAAGCCAATATAGGAAGGAATTTCTAATTTATTACAGGAAAAGTTTTAAAAGAGTAGTTGAAATCAAAAGAATAAATCCTCTAGTTACCTCAACTACTTTGTCCAAGCCACTATTTTTTCAGTTTACCAACTGCACTTATAAATAAAAGCTTACTATATCAACTGTTTTTCCTTTTTGCTCCAAAACACCAAGGTGACATTCTCACTAGTTACTAATAAGAATAAATAAAATGATATTAATTTCCTAAATTCTAAAAACTGTTTATTGGTTGATTTTCTTTAAGAGTTAGAGGCTGTCCAGCTTCAAATGATCGGGTGGCTTACAATGTTAAAGTAAGAGAGAAATTTCTACTTTTAATTTTTTATTCTTTTATTGGTATCTTCTGGTTTTAATACATTATGAAATTTTAACAGAATAACAGAATTGGAAGAGACCTTGGTGGTCTTCTAGTCCAACACCCTGCTCAAATAGGAGAGTCTAATATTGGATTTTATGGAAAAACAAATCTAAGTCATTTTGAAAGTCAACTGGAGCATAAATAAGTATCTTTTACTATATTCCAAACCTCAAGGAAAATAGGAATATAACCTGTTCTTATATTCCATGATAGCTAACTTTACTAAATGGTTTTAGTCAAAATGTTTTAAGTAATAACTACTGGAGTGATAGTGTTTGTAGAGGAAAGCTGGTGTAGTTAAAAAAATAGCTCTCCAACCTGCTAGCAAAAGTGAAATACTAGAACTACAGTCTTGTGAAATTCTTATGTTGCCTTACAGCTTGTACATTTACATCCTCTTTTTAATTTTTTGGTTTGCAAAGAGTTCTGCCTTACCAAAAGTTCTTAATAATTCAAAAGCTTGATACTGAAAAAATCTACAAACAAACAAATCAAGTTTATACAGTGATATAAACTCTGCTGGAATTGAATAAATTGGTAAATAGACTGCCTAAATAAAAACATTCAAAACAAAATATTGAGGCAAAATAAAGTGAGCTTTTTTTCCAGTAACCATTGGGTATGATTCAATATAACATTTTGCATTTAAAAGTTATCCCATCACATAAGCAAAATTACAGGTTACATAAAGCTGGCTAGAGGCTTTCTTTTAAATCTAAGTACTTGCAGCTAAGAGTATTCAGCTTGTTTACCTGTATGGATCAGTAACAGAATGTGACTTTACATGAGAATACCAATCCTTCTTCCAACTGTAGCATTTCCCACAAAACTGACATTGAAAAGGTTTCACTCCAAGATGTTTGTTCATATGCTGGCGGAGATCCCGAGGTTCATAGAAACTTTTCTCACACCTGAAATTAGATTTGTGATGAATAATATAGAATACATGTATATAGTCCTTAGTAAAGAAAAAAGGGAAAGATTGCCGCAGTGCAGCCATATGTATACATGCATTAATACTATTGCTTCATATCTGAAAACAATCCCTATAAAAATATGAAACAATTTGCCTATGCTACAAAATAGTTAATCCTCTATCAGATTATGAAAAAAGGGATAATTCTAAAGTAATTAACTTTCCAGAACTGTTTTCAAGACTATTCTACAACCAATATTGCTACTTTTCTCTGGAATAAATAACATTTATAAAATAAAGAATGGTTTCAATTTGTTGTCTTCAGAATAAACTACTATTTCCATGCACTATGCAGTGGAAAAATAAGATTCATACAATTTTAATGAGCAAGAGCACGAAGTGAAAATAAGCAAACCAATTTTAGGGATCCCAAGAGGTACTAAAACAAGGAGCATTGGTATATTCAAGGACCACTGAGGAATTACAAAAATTAAATCTAATGGAGAACTCACCCATTCAAGTAAAAAGATTCTAGTTCACTGAGCACTAAATTCACCCAAAAGCTATACAATGCTAAGTCTCAATATGAACCCAAAATATGGGATAAGAGCAAAATACTATACTTGAAATTACTTATAATAAAAATATGGTTGGCTGAAATCCTGAACAGGAGGATTCCCTTTAGAATTTCCTTCTAGAGAGTGAATTTGTATGGAGAATGCTGAAAAGACTAAAGCTGAGCTCCTGTTATAAGAAAGCAATAAGGAGAAGAATAAAGAAATTAGAATGTTTTTAAATGTTTTTAAGAGGCAAAAATTCCAGCCAAAACAACCTAATAAGAAAGCTGAGGAAGATTCAGATCACGGCTATCTGGAACACTGAACAATGCTACAACTTAATAGCTTAAGTCCTACCGTATTTCCTCGAAAGAACTACTCCTAAAATAAGCCCTAGCTTGATTTCTAGGGGTGGGCCTAATATAAGCCCTACCCCAAAATAAGCCCTAGTTTTGCGGTGAGGTGCATGCCTAAAAATTAAGCTAGAGGGGGTGGGGAGGTGGAGCTGCCCCACACACCTCATACCTACTTACTGTCGCAGCTAGGCCTCCCATGAATTGACACCTGCCTCGCCTCGCTGGCCCACTTCTTCTGCGGTGCCCCCTGGCCTGCATTTCGCCATCAGAGGCCTTCAGGAAATGCCTCTGCAGCTGAGAATGGCACTCCGGATTCCCTCCCGGCCTGCATTTCACCATCAGAAGCCTTCCAGAAAGGCCTCTGACGGTGAAATGCAGATTGGGAGGTGCCACGCACGTCAATCCAGAGGTCCATTCTCAGCTGCAGAGGCATTTCCTTCAGCCGCAGAAGAAGTGGGCTGGCTGGGCGGGCTGTTGGTGCCACCGCCATGAGTTGAGACCCTGGAAAAGACACCCCCCCAAAATAAGACCCGGTGCCTCTTTTGGAGGCAAAAAAATAAATAAAATATAATAAAATTAGACCGGGTCTTGTTTTCGGGAAAACATGGTACTCTAAAAATACCTAATAAAAATGTTATTAAGATACTAATGTAAAGACTGCTTACTATAAATTATTTCAAAGTTCTGAGAAATTTTGTAAGAATTCAACTAATATTTAAGTAATTTTTGCTTTTATCAAGAATAAAATAGATAATCACTTATTACCCACCAAGATTAGCCAAGCTACTTTCAAACCTTTTAATTATACTTACTGGTTGCATCGATAGCCACGGACTTCAGGTTTGGGCTGGTGTTTCTTTAAGTGTTTACTAAGCCCTGAAGCTCTATGAAAAGATTTTCCACAGTGTGAACAGAAGTATTTTGATTCTCCTGAAAATGATAAAAGTATCTGTAATATATGGCTAGGCAAACTACAAACCACATGCAACTTCCGAAAGATATTTGGAGCTGACATCTGATGACAATCTGGCAAAAAGAGATATAACTGTCCCCTGATTTTTGATAGGAAACAAAATATTCACAATTCATTAATTCTCTTAACACATGTAAACACTTTCTAAAACTCAAATAAATAATCCAACCCCCCTCCTCATGTTAACCCCCCCTGACAAATCTTAATCTTCTTACTTTTATGAAAACATTATGCCACTATTCTTAACTACTATGGCTGTTTCCTATTCCCAAATAATATATGAAGTAAAATATATTAATGATAATATTCAGTATGATATTATTTTTCACACACTGATTAAAAACAGTTGGTCAAATATAGAGCATAAGAAGGCTGACTTTAAAGACTCTACTCAAAGATGTGTAGAATGCTTCACTTCCTTACTGAAAAATGTGGCTGTAGTTTAGCATACATATTTTATACATTCCTGAAAACTGGCTCTATATTTGATACATTCTCTTTGAGCTTGTTTGGAGATTTCAACAGGTAGCACAGCTTCTGTACATTCTCAGAATGAAGAATGGAATATTGGTCCCGTACAGGTTAGCTGCCCAACCCATCTGAGCATTCAGTCCTGGAAATAGCAAGGGAAGAAGCCAGCCAGTCCAGCTGGCTGGTTTCTAGTCTTAAAAAAACACCCATATAATTCCCATTGATTGGCATCTTGGCCACACTGATGGTTAAATCATGTTTACTACACAGAACCAACCTGTGTAATTTCTTGGATGTATAAAATTATAGAAATAAAGTGAAAGAAGAAATCCATTAGACCGAGAAGTGACATTATAGTCCTTTTTACATTATTTTATTTCTGGCATTAATTAATAATATGTGCCATTTACCTGTGTGAATGCTTACATGCTCCTGAAGGCTTCTTTTTGTGACAAAGGACTTGTCACACAACTCACACTTAAACTGCTTTTGTGCCTCATGCAACACAAGATGCATCTTTAAACCATGTTTGTAGGTAAATGACTTTCCACAAATCTATTAAACAACAACATCACAAAAATAGTATTGTCTTTCAAGGTGAATCACAATACACTAAGATGAAGAAAGCTTCACTGAATCTGCTTATACTGCATGATCCATAAGCATCTGACATTTTTTTCCCTAGGGCTAGCATTCTTTAGGACTGTTAGATCTGAACTGCAAAAAATCCATACAACCAGTGACAGTAAAGGCATCAAAACCACCCACTTTTTGCTACCATCTAGTGGTCATCTGGATTTTGCAAAGTTTTGGGATAACTAGATTACTTTGCTGGAGAGATGCTTATTTTATTTATTTAGTTGCATGCTGTCCTTTCCCTCACAAGTCCTGTTTGCTGCTTCACTATGATGGGAGAAAGGGAGAGGGTGTTCCTGGCAGGAATGAGCAACGACCCTGGTGGGTATGTGAAGGTATATTTTCCAGCAGAATTTCCAGGTTGTAAAGGTCATCCTAGCTGCACAGCAAAAGCAAGCAGCCACCTATATTGGGCAGCAGTAATATAAAAAGTTGCTGGAGACAGATCACTGTACTTACAATGGCAAAGACATCATTCATACTGTGCAGAAGACAATTGTAGTGGGAATTCAAGGAAGTTGGATAGAAAGAGTATCAACTCTTTGGAACTTTGGTGTTGGAGAAAATGCTTGAGAACATCATGCACAGTCAAGAAAACAAATAAATGGATTGCTGAACAAATCAATCAAGAGCACTTGAGATACAAATTATCCTTTTTTGATGTTATTTTCTGTTGTTGTTGACTATCCAGACATAGTTTGATTGGGCAATTTTATAAATCAAATGACTATAATGTAAATGTCCTACTTCAGATACATTATGCAAAAACCTAGCGCTTTGAATACTCTTGATGCTAGGAAAGATGGGAAAAAAAAGGAAAAGAGAGGATCAGCAAGTTGGACAGACTCCGTTGTAGCAGTAATAAATGCACTGTTGGAAGACCTAAAGGACCAGGTTAGGAACAGACTACAGTGGAAAAATCTATGATTGCAATAAACTGACAATGTTTTCCATACCTGAAGAGTCTGGGAGACTAATAATCAAAATAATTTCATAGATTAAAAATAGCCCTCTCAAAAATAAATAAGCCTACTTACAATATAAACAGCATTAATAATATTAGAACTATCCAGAAATATGCAAAATCATGCACTTGTCAATGTCAGACTTTTATCACAGTATGCCCTCTGCCTGCAGCAGATGAAACAACAGATGTTAACTGCTCTCCTGAAATTCATGAGAAAACAGATTGGACCTCAAAGGAAAGGAATTCCAAAACTTACTTTCTACCACAGAAAGTGCATTAATATTACAGTGAAGAAAACAGTTTTTTTTTTACCTTACATGCATGTGGCTTTACACCTGTATGTTTCAACATATGGATTCGCAAAGAATAAAGTTTAGGCAAACTTCTTCCACATATATCACAGATAAATTCTCGTTTAGTTCTTCCCTTCCTGGCAGCACCACTGTCTTCTGTATTAGCAGTTGCAACAGTCACTTCATTTTTTTGGGTATGACGAACAAGGTGAGCGCGCAGTGAAGCACCGTACTGGAACTCTTTTTTGCAAAGCTAAGGAAACAAATATTTGACTTCTTGTGAGAAATCTTATTAAAAAAAATAGGGATATAGGATGTGTGTATGTGTATTCACATTCAGATGAAACTATAGTGCGTATGTATCAATCCAAAGATAAAAGATTTAATGTTCAGCTGTGGGAAATCTGGAATGCCAGATGTGTCTAATCAATTCTATTTACATTTCCCAGATATGGAAATGACTACCCCACTTGCAATATAATGTTTCAAACCATGGATTTTGATCATTATGAAATAAGGATTTAAATGTATGTTCGGGAACTATTGTCAGGTTAAACTCCATCAGAGAAACTTGTCATTCAAAGAATATATTAACTATTATAGGAATCTTTACTCGTAGTACATTTTACCAAGTGCTTACTGGGCATTTATAATTTTTCGTCCTTTCATGCTTCAGTGTGTGCATTATAAGAGCATAACGTCTCTGGAAAACCATGCCACATTCACTGCATTTATGTTGAGCTTCTGCCTCAGTGTCTTCTATAATCTCTCTTTTGGGTTGCTTCATTTTCTTGCCTCTTTGCACTAGCTTCATAGCAACCTGATTAAAAAATTGATATTTAAAATTAATATTAGTTACACAGAAAACAGAAAAACCAACAACTCAAACATATTACCTGCAGAGAAGCAACATACATGATCAGAAAAGCCAATCTTTTTTGAGTTAACTCCTAATGACTTAATGAACATAAAATATAGAAGTTAGTTGCCATTACTTTCGTGTGATTTTTTTAAAAATAGTGCAATGTAGCTTATGGCTCTGATCTTTCCTGAAAATCTCCCATCCAAATTCCACTCAGTCACGACCCTATTTAGCTTCCCAGTCCACCAATCCAGCCAAATCATGCCCCTTACTATGACATACAGTATAATTTCATAATTGGTAAATATATCTTATTAGTTCTATCTAAGGGATGGGAAGCAGAAATATTCGATTGGCCTCAAGACATTTTTAAATGCATTTAAAAATTTGTATCTGTATTTGATGGAATACAAAAAATTATTTGAAAGAATATCATAATCTCTATATACAATTTTTGTGTGTGCCCACAACACATATAGCATTGAATTCTTAAGCATCCTTGAAGTAAACCTGTCTCCCATAATACCTTACAAGATCTGTTTGATCGTACAAGGTTGGTGGGCTCTGCATTCCTTTGATTAAATATTATCAAGACCTGGGAGACATGCCTTCTCTGTAGCAACACCTGCCCTCTGAAATGAAGTCTCTTCTATCAAGATCCAGATGGCCTCCACTCTGATGTTGTTTAGAAGAGCAGTGAAGATCTAGGTCTTTACCCAGATCTTTAGTGAAGGAGAGTGAGAACTCTTGTTTCATGCTATCTGATCTGTCCCACTTGCCATCTTTTCTTTTGTTTGATTGTTGTCAGCTGCAAATAGTTATTGAGAACTGGGTGGCACACAAAATTAATAATATCACCCAGCTACCTCTCTTGAGGTAACATCTGCCCCTATTCCAATCAGCTATAGCTACAGGTCATTGCTATGTAAATTTATTAACTGGAAAATTAAAATCATTTTGTTGTATAGCTGATATACAGTATATGTGGTTTTTAGGTTCTTTAAAATGTCAGTATATTATCACTTTGTGGACTTGCCAGAAAGAAAAAAAGTATTGTAAATTTTTACAACATCAAGATTTTTATAGATAATCCTCTCCCCGCCCCCCACACACACTTTTTGAAAAATTAGAGCTTGAGCAGTTATACCTGCTGAATAGCTGATTTGAGGGCTGGCTTTCTGTTCTGTAGTTTTTTCTCAGTACCTTTGTGCAGTCGAATATAGCCACCCTCACTAACAGATCGCTGGCGAAGCTTGCTTTTATAAGTATCGTCTTGACTAAAAGTTGTGGTCTCTGATTGTGACTGTGGAATATCCTGCATTTTACAAGGCCTACCACGTTTTCGCTTAAGTCCTTCCTGGGAATTCTCAGCAGCAACTTCTGCATTTGTTTCGTTGCTCACATTATGTTCACTGTTCACATTTTGATCTCCATTTATATTTTTATCAGCTTCATTTTCAGCCTGACTACTAACAACAACTTGCTCTGCTACTGAAGGCTCAGTTTGCACCACAGTTATAGTTTGATTTGTGGAACATTCCATCTCTGGGGCTTTCTCTTCATTCTCTATTGTTTCCAGAGCAGGAGTATGCACCGGGAGCTCAGGAGGATTCTTCACAAGAGGCTCTGAAACACTTTGTAATGCAGTTTCAGATACAGTCATCTCTTCTGCCTCGGTATTTGAAGCTGTTCCATTCACAGTTGCTACTGGATCTTCAGTAGATATTGCTTGCTCGGTGCTGGCAACAGGATTAGCTTCATTTTCATTCTGCTCTAAAATAGTTTGAGCTACCTCTACTATTTGAACATCTCCTTTCTGGTATACGGTGATTTGTTTATCTTCCATCTGTTTGTGTACATTTTCACAGATTTCCAAGACCTCTGTCATGAGAAGATGCTGAGCTAGCTCAGCTACAGCTGCCATGTTACAAAAATCAAAAATTAATTCTGAAGTGTAAGCAAATTCTAGCAAAGGGAGGAAACTGGCCTTCCGAAATCCTGCATGTATACACACAAAACAAATAAACAAAATTAGAAAGCTTTGATAAAATAGACCCTCACCATTTATTTTATAAAAACAGAAGCCTGCCACTCTGATGAATACTGAGAACAGGGTCTTTTCAATAGCTGTCACACATCTCAAGAATCCTCTGCATAGAAATACATTCATTCCTTATCTGTTTTAAGTAAACATTTGCTTCAGTGCTTTTCACTTAAGTCATAAGCTGCTATGATGTAATTCTGTATTTAACATTATGATATAAAAATCATTTTAGTTATATTTAAATGTGGTGTATTCATATATACACTATTGTAGATAAGGTCCTTTTTTATCTTGAAAGATAGGACATAAATTCACTAAATAAATAAATCGGGGGAACACTGTACAAATTAGCTTCCTATCATATTAAACAAAAAACACAACAAATAAAAAAAAATCCAAGCATCTTTTCTTCAGGAAAACCTGACAGCATAGTCTAATATATTTTATATATTTGATTGATTTGCCTTTTAAAAATCTGCATGTTTAATAAACTCATTGATATTATAATATATTACCTGAAAGATCTACTACTGCTTCATGGCTGGAAACAGCTCCCTTTTCAATAAAAAGTTCTCTAAAGTATTCACTGTTGGCTGCCAAAATAGATTTGTGTGCTTTGTATACTTCTCCCTCAATCAGCAAGGTAACATCACAGAACTGACTAGAAAGCCGCTGTTGGTTCAACTGATTCAAAATTGTTTGAGAATGTTTTGGAGAAGATTGTTTCACGAGACCTTTACTGTCAACCTGGCATCAAAAAAGACAGCCCATACCATTACAACTAAAACAAGCAAAACAAATTAAGTATCATAAAGCTGCTATGTATAAAAACAGTTTATAGTATAAATGTAAAAATGTAAAAAAAAATTCCATGCCAATTATATATGAACATTTACTTACAAATACAAGTTCATGCTTGGCTATTGGTTTCTTTTTCACTGGTTTTGGTGATGCTGCTGGCAGTGATGTGGAATTATTTATTTCATCATCTGTTTCATTACTATCTTCATGAGATATTGCATCTAATCCTAGCTCTTCCAACATTTCAGAAGGGTCTGACAACGATCTAGAACGATCTAATTTTTCCTGGCATTTGCTACATTCTTTAATATAATCTTTAACTTGCTTCAGGATACCTAAAAAAAACACAAAATCTTTTTGTATGTATTGTTTTATTCATGCATAAATTGATATATTTGAATTATTGTTTCAATATTGGGCAGTTATTTCAAAACACTCATCCTTTATCTTTTATTTAGATGCATGGAAACAGATTAAATCAAAGTCAATGCTTTTGCTTATTTTCAAATCTTCCTGTCAAGTCAGGACTCCTATCAGTGTTCAGTCCTATACTTTCCATAAATGTACAAAATAGTTTTCCACATTTATGGCATAGTATTGAGAAACAAAGCAGAGAGGATTCTTTACAAGTCATATTTTCTATTCTGCCTAAATAGAATGCTCTGGCTTATTTACATCACTACTATAGACTTCCTACCCTGAAATCCATAATTATACAAAACAAAACAAGTCTGATCCATTAAAATTGATATCTAATAATTCACAGAAGATATACAGTTGCCTTCTGTCTGTAGTAAGCTACCTTATGTAAATTAAAAGAGCCCCCTTGATTAGTGCTATATCAAATTTGAAATTGCATGTCCGCTGTGCATTGATTGAAGGCTATTACGAAAAGAAAATACGCTTACAATTTAGACACCCCTTATTTTATACAATTTTTGTTTTTTTTTTAAATCACTGCTGTTTGTTTGGGGATTACAATTCACATGGGCTCAACATATGGGTTCAAAATGAACTTTTTTTTTACATCGACAAGCATTCATTCCCCTGTAGAGTCAAGGCACATCAAACGTAGACCTAATCCAAAAGCCTTTTAACTTAATCTGTTGATCAAACGAGACCCTAAAATGTTTTATCGGAGTGTTCCAACACGCATCACGCAAAATGCCGAAAATGGGGTTCATTTTACAACGATTAACCGTGGTTAAGTTATCCGGGGGAAGGCAGCCGATGCACTGAACTGCGCGTTTTCCCAGCCTAAGCCCATTCCCACGGAAATTCATCTTCGGCAACTAGCAACGCAACTCCCTCGCCTGCGTTTTGAGCTTCGAAAGAGAGCGCCTCTGCCGAACGAAGGCGGCGCTCAAGACCAGAGGTGGGGCGAGTTAAGTCGCGCGTGTCATCGCGCCGCTGCGAGGTACTTCCGAACAGCCAGCCAGCCAGCGTGCTTGCCCAGCGCTCCCCCGCCCCGCCGAGGCCGGTCATGCAGGGACCCCCTCTTCCTCCTCCCATCCCCACCCACCGAAGCGCCTTTCCTCACCTCGCCACCAATAGCGCCTGGAGAGGCGCTGCCAAGTCTGCAAGCGGGTCCGGTGGGAGCCGTCCGCTTCCAGGTGGGCTGCCCGAATGAGGCGGCCGCGACGTTCGGCCTGCAGCACCACTTCGAGCTCGGCGAAGCGCTGCTGGTCCCGCTGCCGGCGCTGGTAGTAAAGGGTCCCTCCGCGCACCACATAGCAGGCGGCGGCCTTGCGGATCTTGCGCTTGACGTTGCCCTCGGTGCCCGGCGCGTAAGGCTCGCGCTCGTTGGTCAAGTAGCGCAGGATGGCCAAGTAGCTCTCCTCGCTCGACATGGCGGGCGGGGGAGGCGAGCGGCGGCCGACGGACGCCCCCCTCGTCAGCAGAGGAAGGGGCGCTTCACCCGCTGAAAGGAGAAGAGGTTCCGACGCGGGTCCAGCTCTGTGTCGGGGGTGGTGGTGGTGGGGTTGAGCCCTTGGGTTCCCAGCGGAGGAGACGCGAGGGAACTCTCCGGAGAAGAGAAGCAGGCCTCGCGGGTGGGTGGGTGGTGTCTCCTGTCACAGGTGTTAGAAAGGAGACCACTCGGAGCGAGCGAAGGGAAAAGCAAAGAGAAAGGGGGAAATACGGGAAGGGTTAAAATAAAGAAAAAACCGAAGCATCGGGTCCAGAAGGAATCGGGCCCCAGGAGGTGGAACTGGAGTTTCGCGGTCCGCGATGACGGGCGGGAGGAAGAAGCTCGGGCAGCAGGATCAACGGAAAGACAAAATGGCTGCTGCACAAGCGGAAGTGAGGTCTGGGAAGATCTAGCCTAGCCCTGCGAGCAGCAGAGGGAAGGGGAAGCGCTTTGAGGAGCGTCGCCATGCTGGAATCGGGCAAGCGTTGCCAGCCATTGAAAATAATCTGCCGTTTTAGTATCGCCGGAGACCGGTCAGCAGAAGTGGGAGATGGAAGACGGATGATTACATGTAATATAGGCAAAATAGTTTGTTTAAATTGCATTAAATAAATGTAGTTCCTTTCTTGTACTGAACTAGTCAGTCTGCAATTGCCAGCTTGACTAGACTGTGTCTGCTCGTACGGTATTTAAAGCACTTCCATGAGAACATGAAAGTGACCCTAATTGGCAAGATTTACAGTTTAATTTTATAAAGTAGCACATTCGGTATCTTTCTGCACTTTCTACAGAAACTGAAAAATTATTACCGGAAAACGTAACTCGGTTTGAACTTTATCTCCAAGGGACTTGCAAAACGGATTCCTATGTTTTAAAACTGTTTTTCTTTCTCACTTGTTCGTTTGGATAATATGTAGTATACCCAGCTTGCAGATAAAATGTAATTCATCATATATAGCTGTTGTTTTGGAAGGGTTTTTTCAGACAAGGTTTAGTAAGCAAACTTCGTTTCAGAATTCCCAGCTGATATGTTGAGCGGAAATTCTTGGAGCTGCAACTTAACAGTCGCAGTACATTTATTTATTTAGCATATGGCATGATTAGTTTTACCTAGATTAGTAAAACACAATTAAATATAAATGTTAAAAAGATCTATGTTCAAATACCAATGTCTCTAGACCATCTAACCATTGAAATGCAGCACTGTGTATATTAAAGAAATCATACTGGACTGGTATATGCCGTCAGCTTATAGCCCATCACAATGTGATTCATGGGACCCTACATTTACACTGAGGGGAGGATACTATGCCCCATTTATATACAGAGTCCCAGCAGACACCATGTGAGGTGCAAATCCTATTCAGGATTGTCCACAAAACCTGGCACCTTTTTTGTGGGGTCATGTGTGTCTTCCTATGTCTGGGCGTTTAGAGACGCATTTGACTTTCCATTGGGATTCGATGTTAAAGTTCTTGGGTAGATGTTGTGCAAGTGGAAGGCTGCCATGCACTGTAGGAGTGAATTGCTCATAAATTTCTGTATTCTCTCCCTAGTGCATCTAGCCTTTGTAAAACTGTGGGTTGCAGCACACAAATTTGACTCAACTATCAGAATACTGTAGATTTGAGCCAAGTTCTGTTATCATTATTAAGTTACAATAATTTACATTACAGTAACACGCTGAATGCTATAGCCTAAAATATACAAAATTATTTTTAAACACGTAAGCATCTCTGGGAGATTTTGTAGTTGGTGGTATAAAAAATGTTTAATTTCAAGCTTGCAAAATGTTTTTCAATAGCTTTTCTGAACTGTTACATCACCATTAACATCCTATTAAATGATTTTGTGATTTTATTAGATTTATACCCCGCCCTTCTCCTGGCGGACCCAGGGCGGCTTACAGCAAGCTAAAAACAGATAAAGACCCTACAAACACCATTTTAAAATATAATTAAAAGAAATATTAATTTTGCCGTTTCATTTAAAATTTTGTTAACACCCAATATAAAATCAAATTAAAATCCAATCTAAAATACCCCTCAGCCTAAATAACAAAATAAGAATAAACACTTATCAGTCTGTCAATATTCTTAAGTCTAAACCAGAGGTCCCCAACCTTTTGGGCACCAGGGACTGGTTCTATGGAGAGGTTTTTTGTGGACTGGAGGGGGTGTGGTTTTGCATGCTGCCTGCATCCTGTAGATGGGGCTTTGTTTGTTTGCCCTGACAGTTTTTGGCATGCTGCGGACTGGTGCCAGTCCATGGACTGGGGTTGGGGACCCCTGGTCTAAACCATGCAAAATATTATTCATGTTGTAAACTAGGATTTCTATCAGTAACTTTGTTAATGTAATATAAACTTCTCATTCTACGTTGGCTGCCAGCATAAAGTATAGGGTTAAATTATGCACTGTTTATGAAAATATACAATTGACTAAATTACATATTGACTATTTTAAGGCTGTATTAAGAATCTATAGTACAAAATGGTGTGGAGACCTAGTGGGGAAGATGCTTGCCTCTCACTTGAAAGATTGAGTTTAATCCTAGGTAGTGGCAAATGTTTCTCTTAGGGTACAAAGAAAAAATAGCTGCTGCAAACTCTACCTAGGTGTCAGGAGGGGCATCTGACCAGTAAATGGTCAGCTCCATGCAGTCATCCCAAATAGGGACTACAGAGTTGTAAAAAGGGTTTTTTAATTATTATTAGGGATCTATAGTCTTTTCATGTTTATAAACCTAGTTGCCAAGTTCACAACAAATATAATCTTGTAAATTCTGATTCGTCAATCTCTTGAGTTTATAAGAGTATGTTGAATTTTTAAAAAACAAGTGTTTTCCATCCAATTCTGTCTTGAGTAGGAGTTTCAGAATCATGCATTTTCCCTTCTATTGGAAAACAGCTGGTGCACAGTTTTGCCATTATCCCGTCTCCATGCAGAGAAACAGATAAGTGGTCACAAGTCTATTTAATGGTAGAAAAAATAATTGCGATGCTTCACCAGAAAATAGTTATGGCTGTGTGATGTTCAACTATCTGCTGATTAGCTGCTGACAAGATAGTTGAAATATGATGAAATTTATCCTGAGTAAAACTATTGGTTTTCAGTGCAAAATTCCCTGAATAAACAACCAGGATGTAAGGCATTTGGGCAGATTAGGCAAAAGTAACATGAATTTCAAATGAATTTACCAATATGATTTAAGTCTTTTTTTCAACTAACATTAATATAATTTCTTAAATACAGACTTTCCTGTATATGCTTTGCTAATAGCTGTTTTCAACCATTTTTGCTCACCATTGCAAGTTATTATGTAATGAAAATAACCTGAAACTTTCAAGAAAAGAGCATAGACCAATTATAGTCAAAATTTTATTTGACATAATCAAATCAGCACAAATCAGCGTTTCCCACCAACACGAGGAGCAGAAACTTTCACAGGCTTCACAATTTTTTGTTTTGGTGCAGCCTTTGTTGGTGCCTGGAATAAAAAAAACAAGACACTCATGAGGTATGCTACATATTAAGTGAGTGTAAACTAGCATAATGTGTATAGGTGAACTTCTGGAGAGGGGTCGTCTGAATAAGAACAAAGTGTCTCTAAATCATTTGAACAAAGTTTTCAATCTTGTCAGAAATGCTTCACTATGATCTCCTTTGCAACCATTGGACTGAAGGAATTTCATATTGCAGCCTTTGAGAAACAATTATGGTACCATCCAATTATCATATTTTTTAAAGTTTATTACAGCCCCTTCCCTGACTGAGGACTGGGGATTACAGATACTTTTAACAGTGTACTCAGAGCAGAGTCCACAGAGAACCCGGATTACAATAGGGCCGGAAAAGCAATGTAGTATCTGGATAGTAAATTTGGATATGAGAGACTTGAATTCAAATTTATATTAGATCCTAATGCTCATTCTTGACTCCTAGTTCAACCTACTTTAGAAAATTGTTATGAAAATAAAATATCCTTACGTATATAACAGTGATGGCGAACCTTTTAGAGACCGAGTGCCCAAACTGCAACCCAAAACCCACTTATGCATCGTCGGGTGCCGGGTGGGCGTGGCCCATTGGGTGGGTATGGCTGCGGTGGTAACAGCAGACTGGGTGGGACTAAAAAGTTCAATTAATCAATTCCAACTTTGCAAGATCTTTTTTTCCCCACTAGAAGTTGAAATTGACTGATTGATTGAACCTTTTTTTTTTTGTACACGGCACTGGAGGCCTAAAGTGAAAAGGTTTTATAAAACCCAGCTGAAGGCATAGGACTGGGGTGACGGCGCGCGTGCCCACAGAGGGCTCTGAGTGCCGCCTCTGGCACCCGTGCCATAGGTTCGCCACCACTGGTATATAATATACTATCACTTTGGGCAATCAAAGGAAAGGTGAAACATAAATGAAGCAAATTAAGAAAAAAATTGGATATCTTCAAGTCACCCACTGATTTGGTAAAGTACAAAGTATGACACAAACTGATAAAGATTAGAACACAGGAACAATTTAATTTCAAAATCACAATTATTTTGTAAATAAGAATCTACAAAGAATGACACAACAAAACATAGTCTTGTTTTAACAGACTTTGCCAGGCATTACCTTTGTTGTAGAAGGTACTGTTTTCTTAGTTGCCTGCTTAGCCTTCTTTGCCTCCTTGGCAGCTCTGTTAATAATATTGAAAAAAGATTAATAAAATTTTATTATTTAACATCCAAAATGTATGGAAAAATATGCCTGCTACATAGCAGAATAGGTGGTTTATGAATGTGTGGAGACTTTTGGTTACATATAACAACTCAGAATTCCATTTGTAACCTTTAGAACCTAACCCTGGATAGATGAGGCCAATATTTTCTGCAACATTAGGTTCCCTTTAATCACTTAACTCTTCCTCCAATCAAACCATTTTCCCTGAACCCTGTCTCCATTATGAAATTCTGTCAATGCTAAGGACATAATCTGTGGCCCTCAGACATGGCAAAAAGCAGGGGTCCCCAACCTATGGGCCGTGGCCTCTTGGCCAACGGGCCGCTGAAATGGCTGGCCAGTGCACGCACACATTCTTCCCCACTCGCACTAGTGCCCATGGTCCCATTTGCGCATGCATGCGGGTGTGAATAGGGCTGCTAGCCCAGGTGGGTGTGCACAGCCCATTTGCGCATGCGTGAACGGGGTTGCTAGTACCAGGCAGGTATGCATGGCCCATTTGTGCATGCACGAATGGAGCTGCTAGCGCTGCACCGTTTACTGACGGCGCCATTTGCGTGCGTGCATGCACACCAATTATGGAAGCTGCTCTCCTTTCCTCTGGGCCGTGAGCCCAGAAAGGTTGGAGACCTCTGGCATAAAGGCAAAGTGTAATTTCTAAACCAAAAAATATTGCCTACCGTGCCATATATCAAGAAGGGAAATTCTACACAATTTTTTAATTTAGTTGCAGGATCTCATATGAGGCACTAATTTCTCTTTAAGAATTTTATCCCATTCTAGGTAGCAATAGTTTACAGATATTGGTAATTGCTTAAAACGATGCTTTCCTTACCCTAGTGCTTGAAAAGGAAAAATGTAGAGGAGATGAATTGCCGATTAGATGCTTTAAGTAATTCCCTACTTGTAGTATCTTCAGGCACAAGCTGCTGCTAGAGAGTTACAGCATCAAAGTATTCTTGATGTCTTAAAGCAGTTCCTTTTTGGAAAAGGGCTTCAATTCATCTCCTCATCCCTGTGAAGGGTCTGGAAACAGATCTAGCTATTGGTGAAGCTATTCCTGGTTTAAGCACATACCAAAATAAAGGGGTCCCAGACCATAAGTCACCAATTATATATTTAAGTTAAATTGTACTAATTTTATTTTTTTAGCATAATTCCCTTACATGTGACAAGAAGCGTACAAATAAAGTAACATCTCCCCTATTAAAAATGCATAATCAAATATTATTTTTTACATTCAGCCAAGGATGTCAACTAGATCAGCAGCCCCAAACGTTTGGGCACCAGAGATTGGTTCCGTGGAGAGGTTTTTCCGTGGACCTGGAGGGTGTGTGGTTTTGCATGCATGTTTGTGCGGCTTGGTTGCTGGCATGCCAGGGTCCAGTGCTGGTCCATGAACCAGGGATTGGAGACCACTGACCCATATCATAATCATACGTTTATACAGAATAAGAATAAAATGTACTCACCTAATGGCCTGTTCCCTTTGGGCTTTTCGCACTTCAGGCTTCTGATTTCTCTTAGCCATTATTTCAGCCAAAGAAGCACCTGTTATTGCTCTATGGCCCTTAACAGCACGGCGTGTACGTTTCTTTTGTACCTCTTCCTGGACAAATAAATAAATGCTTCAAAAAAGTATCCATACTTGCAGAAGCTCAAAAAATTTCACACACACACAAAGCCTTTTGATCATATCAGATTGGAGTATTTTATGTATTTGCCACAGTTCAATTTCTCACCTCCTATCTCAACTCCCAGAAATATTTTTTTGTATTTTTGTCTGTACTATTTCACATTTTCTGGTCAAATGAAACGCAAGGAAAATCAACTTTTAAAAAAATAAAATCCACATTGGAAGGTTTTTTTCTTGATATCGATTCTAGTCTTTCACTTACCAGTAGGACAAATATGGAGATATCAAAGGTTGGCTAGCATGGACTGATAGCACTGTCACCCATGAATACACAATGCTACAACTCTACATTAGAACTATTTTTCTGTACATGTCAGGCTATAATTCTTTTCCAATTTACCAAAAATGTGATTTACTTTTGATTAGACAGATGTACAATTGTGCTGTACATTTCTTTAATACATTTTCTTTCAACTAGCTATACGTACCCATTTTAAAACACAGCTTAATGGATTTTCTTTCCTAGCAACAGAACACGCACACTTCAATCACTCAATAGTAGTTTTCAATAGCACAATAAAAAGGCATACAGATTTCCTATTCCCATTAAAATAATTTAAACCAATGATCCTACATCAAAGGCCACAGAAAATATTTTTAACAAATGGATTGTGAAAAACCATGTATTACGATATAAATTATGAATGTATACGTTATATCACAACTAAGCAAAGCCTGTTCCACAAATTATGTACACATGGAATATGAATACTAAGATATAATCAGAATAAATGTGGTAGAATAAATCAGAATAAATCTGCTAACATGTTTTATTAAAAGGCAACATTTGATGACCTGTAACTGACTTTATTAGATGCATAGAATAGCTAGACTAGGATTTGAATTGGGATGAGACAGTGGTTGGGAACAAAGAGGATAGTAGTTCTATAGATGCAAGTTACACATTAAAGGAAAAGTTCCATTTCATTGTTTTGAAGTAATGGCCAAATACTATCATGATTTCAACAACTTGTATCCCCCCCCCTCAGCATTGACTTTCCTTCCAACAAGGTGACAATGTCACAGTAAAACTGCACACATTCATTTTACAGGAACCTACAGAATTAGTTTACTTCATGCAAATAACATACACTTCCAGCTTCCATCCAGAAATTTTAATCAACTCTATCATGGTAGAACCAGGTTGCATGCTACAACTGTTTATTCTGATTCTCTTAACAGAGATACTCCACTAATGGAGTTAGATTAGATATTCAGATTCATCCAACAAGATCAATAGACAATTCAGTAATAACAGACTGAGTAAAGCACTTTCTGAAGTAATAGGTGGAAGGTTATACTTGCATATAATATTGAAACTGAAGCAAAAATAAACTACAATGAATAAGAATCAGACCTACAACAAACCCAATATCTACTCTGCCCTCAAATCTATACTAACAGCATTATCACATCTTTTTGTGATTACATATCATCATTTGCCGGCAATGTTCTGATTTCTACCTAGCACAAATGGGACAAACTTTGCACACAATAGATACACTTTTACAACAGGATTCAAAATAAGAACAAAGTAATACCAGAGCATTTCAAGCACCCAGGGCACTTCACTTATTAGAAAAATTCAGACAATTTAAAAAAACCTCATCAAAAACACATTTCTAACACATTATAATTGTTCATTGTTAAACTACTTGTAAACTGTCTCACAAGTAATTTGGTTGTGTATAACCAAGCTATTTCCCCTCTTACTTCATCCCAATTCAGTCTAGGTACTGTATGCATCCTATTGAACTCACGTATTGCCTTTTAATAAAATGTAATGATGTTTGTAAGGGGACACAGGAATATTTAAGCTGTGAGGTAAAATAAATGTCATCTTTCTGTGATATTGTTTATTATTTTGAAGGTTCTTGCTCTTATTAAGAATACAGGCAGCCATCATTATTCAGTCTCCATAAACTAGCAAAATACTTACTGATTGTCCTTTCTTGTGCTTTCGCCTGTATAAAACAGTCCAATTAATCTGACGGGGATTTCTCTTAGACAGGAATGCAGACTCACATTTTGCATTCAAAAACTGAAAAACCTGAAAGATTTAGATTATTTTTTTAACATAACATGCTTTTTGTACCACTGCAGACTGACAAGAACAGCTTAAAACAATTCTAGATCTGGGTTATCAATAGTGATTAGCTGAGAACTAGGGCAATATACAAATTAAAACTTAGCTATACCCTAACCATGTTATTTTGCAACATTAAAAAAAAACCTGAATAGTCAAGATGCTACTTTTTGCAAGTACTCCATCAGTTGTGCTTACACTGTATCCAAGGTATGTAAAATGATCTACTTGTTGATTCCTTAACCTCAACTGCTCCACTGGGCGAGTCAGGTAAAACGTGTAAGTATTTTGATTTAGTAAGACTTCATTTGCTATATGGCTAATCATTCCTTTTAGGTTGTTCCAAGTGCTGGCTGGGGGGGGGGGAGCATATAACCACCAAAAATTAAATTTGTAATTATAAAACTGGATGGATATGTAACAATGTCAGTGATCTTTCCAGCGATTTTATCAAAATATGATTTCCATGCATATACTGAACAAGAATTGCAAGAGAATAGCCATACTATCTATCTATCTATCTATCTATCTTATCTATCTTATCTATCTATATTAAAAATTACACTAAAAATGGTCGAGTGATTCCTGGGTGTATATATATATTTACGCCTTACCTTCCCGTCCGTCCGAGCATAGCGGCGGCCATGGCCGGGGTAGATCTTGTACCCACTGAAGCTGCACAGCTCGACCCTGCATTCCAAAGTTACCGAGAAAGAAATTAGCAAACTAAGAAAACGTAAGCCTACCCCATTTTATGTGCCAAACCTGAGGATGGCCTCGGATTAAACCTCGGCCCCGAGTCTTACTTCATAATGGCGGCAGCGGAACAACCCCACCGGTTCCTCCAGCGTATAAGAGAAAGAGAGGCTCTTGGGAAACCGGATTCTATACTTGGCGCGGGGCACGATGGGAACACGCGCTATTTGTTACACGATGAGAAATGCTGCGCTTTCATTAGCTGGTAGTTTAATTCCTAAAGTAGATAAAATTCATTATCTGTGACAGAAGGGGCCTGGAAAACTTTGTACGCCAATATAAAATCTCCGATATTTTTTTTCAAAGTGTTTTTTTGTTAACCAATCAGTACCTAGCCTCAGCACGGTTGCCTAGCATTGGAAGCAAGCGGGAAGTATGGCGGCAGCATCGGTTGCGGAGGTTTCCGCAACGAAGCCTGAGGCGGTAAAGCCATCCACGGGCGCTAGTCAAGGTAGGAGTGAAATCTACCGATCGCGGGGGAGCGGCGAAGGATCAACGATTTGGGGAGCTTGCTAAGGAACCGATAGTCTTTTCGTTGACCGTTGGGGGGGGGGAACTGAGTATCGCGCGGAGCCATATGGGGACTGTAGTTTGTGTGAGCCTAGGTTTTGATCAATAATATGAATTAATGTTAACAATGCACTACAAATCCCGAAAGGCCTTGCGAGCGGTTGTTTCTTTGTGTAGTTTGTAGGAGCGGTAGCAGTTCTCTTACTCTTTGCTTGGCGTTTTTTATATGTACATACACGTCTATTGAAATAATGCCAGACATTCCTTTATGCCTTCTTTCTACAGTATATGTGCACATCAAATACAAGTGTAATGAAAGTTATGTAATTAGATGAGATACTACTATCATTTTTTTTAGTAGCTAGTTTTTGTCCTGAAAGTATTGCGGTATTTGTGTCTCTTATGAGGGAGAGGTTGTGTTGCAAGCTATTTGCTAATGTTTAAACTCTTGTTATATGTAAGAATTTATTTTTCACAGGATGGCAAAATTGCGCAAGGGAGTGTTCCGTTTTAATAATAACGGGTATTATTATTATGGTATATTTTAGTATAATGGTATATTTTAGTACGTACATTTTCTTTAACAGATTAAATCTTTGTAGAGGAAGTGGCATATTCTACAGAATATCTGGGTAAATAGAGGATCATATAAAACCAATACTGTTATTAGCATCTGCTATGGCCAGGGTAATCGAGGACTATGTGATTAAAACTAGGCAATGCTTTCCAAAAGCCAACTGCAGAAATTTCCAAGAAGCATGCAGTGGTAGTAATGGGACTTTTCAATCATTACCAAGTCTGTTGAGAAACAAATTATTAAACACAAAATCTCTCAAAAATTCCAGACCAATCTTTATGACAATTTTCCATTTTAAAAGATGAACTAGAAAGATCAACTACACTACTACAAGTATCCGTGATTTGATACTACTGTTAACCAAGAAAATGGAAATGGCTGAAACACTTGGGGGGGAGGACACAAATGATGGAGTTCTTGATTCTAAACATGAAGATCTTTGTAAACAAGTTACTAAATCCTGTCAAATTACAAAAAAAAAACCCAGAACTATATATACCCAGAAATATGGACCTGAAAAGATTTATGTCTGGTCAAAATCACTGCAAGAGCAAAGCATAAATTAGGAAGTCAGAAAGAATCCCAGAATAACTTCTATGGATCTGTAGGCCACATTTGTTCAAGACAAAGTGTGACTCCACCATTAGAAAAATCCTTCCGGGGGGTGGGGGGGAATGAGGTTTGTAATAGAGGTTGCAAAATGATCGCCACTGGTCACAAAGAAGAACATTTGTCAAAAAGTAGCTGGATGACACACTATATTTTTGTAGAAATGTTCTATGCTGAATTTCTGGTGAGGACATGGTGAACTAGGTGTCCCTGAAGAAGCAGAAATGGCAAAATGGCTGAAATCAGCAGCCAGAAGATGGGTTCTGGCCAGCATAATCTCTCTGGAGAAAAGAGATTGTGGGATCATATACATACAGTCCAGGCAGTGCTACTCATAAGTAGACTGCAGAAACGGGTGTTTTTGCAGTCAGCTGGTGAGCACAGTGGAGGAATGTCAACTATGTCCACAGTTATAATATGGCAAATATGGACATAAAGCTTGGCCAAGCCTCATTTCTTAATCACATTTGAAAATTTTCTATTTATTGTGCTTTGTATTTGTTTTTATCTGTACAATTATAATCCTTAATAAAATCATTTTTAAAAAGAATGCCCCATGGATTGATGAGGCAAAAGTAGAACTTTAACTTCCAGACTAAGTATATGTTATTATGCCTGACAAAAGTAAACATTACATTTCAGAGTAAGAACATCATATTCCTCTTTGAGGGAGATGGCCAGTTTAGAAATATGAAATATAAATAAATACCAATAACAAAAGTGTAGTAAAATCTTTGCTGCCTCAAAACCTGGTAACCTGTCATCATTAAGTGAGGCAGAAATTCTGCTTTATAATAGAAAGTTTTACCAGAGACCATCATGATTATCATTGACATGAAGTTCAAATGGATCTTGAAGTAAGACAGTGGTTTTAGATACAGAAATAAGTATACAGTAGAATGGGTAAAGCCCAAATGCAATGTTTTGAAATGGCCAAGTCAGGCTAGAATTGAGCCCCATAGAAATGTGACAGCTCCTGACATGAGCAGGTTATGTTAAAACACTTAGAAAAATTTTGCTTGACACTATAAAGAGTATGTTACAAAAGCTAAAGCTCAAAATATATTAAGGTTGACAGAGTTTATTAAAGACAAAACCAGATTTTTCAGATATATTAAAAATAAAGAATAAAAAAATTGGTGCCCAGTTTAAATGCTGTATTGCAAAATCCTAAGAGTTATTGTATAGGGCATGATTGCATAACGTCTTTTAAATTAGCTGTGTTCAGTTTTTTTAACATTTGGATTTGTTTTCTTCTTATTTAACAGGTTCTTTAATTAATTGGTCAGGCCAGGGTTTACAAAAACTAGGACCAACTTTATCCTGTAATGCAGACATACATACTTTGATTTTGGATAAAAATCAGTTAATTAAATTGGAACGCCTGGAGAACTATAAGAACTTGATGCAGGTAGGTTTTTATATATACATATATATATGAATAAACATGCTTTGTTAAATTATTTAAATTTGGGGGGAAACTTGGGAAAAATAAATTATTTCCATCGTCATGCTGAGAAAAGGCGTTCAGGTAAGACCAACGCCCCTTTCATGCTGTATGTTGTCAGCAAAGGTTATGCTCAATAATAACTTTCAGTGAATGTGAGTCTAATACAATGATTTTGATTCTCCAGCTTTATATGCAAACACCATGTACTCAAATTAGAACAACTAATTATCTTTGTGTTCATTAATATTTCTTATATTTATTAGTTTTGAAGTAATTAAAAGCTTCTGACAGAATATTATTGGGAAGACCTATTCTGTGAAAATGAATTTTGAAAGCACTTTTGTAGGTGCAGTCACAAAGAGACTGATATGAAGGGAGGTTTAAACTACGTTTAACTTCCAATACAAGAATGCAGGCCTGCAGATAACTGGTAGGGATTTATAGGTTAGTATCAACATTTTAAATTACACACAAAAGCCTATCTTCATTAAGTCACCCGGAGTCATGTTGTAATGTAGAGGGAGATGGGCAGCATAAAAATTTAATACATAAATAAAAATAAATAAAATGCATGGTTGCAACACTAGTGAAAGATCAGTCAGCTGCTGTTGTTCTCCTAACAACTGCAGCTTTCAAAGTCATACCAATGAAAAGCATGTTGGCAATAGTCTTAAACAGGTAAGTTTCGCACTTCAGTTTGGGTTGCATTCATTCAACATAGCATGTTATTCCAGATTGGGTTGCATCTGATCCAACCATAGCCTTCACCTACAATGCTAGAGGTTGGTACTTTACTTTGCAGTAAAATACCAACCTCTAGCATTGGTTGGTACGTACATATTTTCCAATTTATAGTTTTCCCCAAGAATTAAAATAATAGTAAGCAAAATTGAAGCTATTGTCCATTTTGTTGCAGTTGTCAGTAGCCAACAATCGGCTAGTGCGGATGATGGGTGTAGCAAAACTTACTCATCTTCGAGTGTTAAACTTGCCTCACAACAGTATTGGTTATGTAGAGGGATTGAAAGAGCTAATGTACCTGGAGTGGCTGAATCTGGCAGGAAACAACTTAAAGGTAAATTTTCTTTAAATAATCAAATAAATAGCAAATAATGAACAAAATAATTCTTGCATCTTGCCTTTGGGGGGGTTGTATAGAAGTAGGTGGCCTTGTAAATTGAAATTGTAAGTAAATATTTAAAACAATAAAAATGTTAATCCGATATAGTAGTATTGTATTGAATTTATATCATACCTAGGAACTTAATTTAGAATAGAGTAGAATAGAATAGAATAGAATAGAATAGAATAGAATAGAATAGAATAGAATAGAATTGGAGGGAAAAATATCAACAGCTTACATTATGTTGACAATGCTTTCCTGATGGCCCCTCAACCATTCAGATGAGATCTGGGCAATGTATAGGCAGTGAAGAAGAAGCTTTCTAGTAATACTGTAAGTGTTGTTCCCTTGCTGAAATAATATCATTGGATGCAAGTGTTTTTTTTTTTAATAAAAGTTTTATTGGTTTTTTCCATTTTTTTTACAAAAGCTTAGGACACAACGTGGTAGTCAGAGTGTCAGATCATTCAAAAACAAAATCATATACATATAGCTCAAATTAATTATAAACAATTTCCTCTCTGTAAGGAATAATATTAGTTATTAAAATTAAAATTAATACAATTTTAGATAAAGTTCAATCAAACAAAAATCCTCAATCTCCTTGCAATTATGATAATCTATATCCTGTTTTAAGCTTTACTAATTACAATTGTCTTATTCCAGTTACATTTCAATAGACATATAGTTGGGATTTCAGTTATCCTTAATAATAGATCATTCATTAAAACTAATTTTTTTCCTATCACAAGTGGCTCTTTCTCTCTATTACAACGTATTTTTCACGTTTAAAATAACAATATAAATCCAACAATTACAGTTGTTTTTAAAAATATATTCTATCATTTCATCAATCCACAACTATAAAAAATCTTTTTAAGCCCTTTTGTAAAGTTTACACCTTCAAATACTTATCAAGTATAATGTCAAGAAATTCCCAGCCTTCATTCATTATTAAATCAAACAGAAATTCTCTATTTCAGAATAATTATCATATTTAAAATAATAGTGTAGTTCCATAAAAAACACATCTATTTTTAAAAACGTATTCTATCATTTCATCACTCTACGTCTATAAAATCTTTTTAACCCCTAAACAAGTTTGCTCCCTAATAATTATCAACTATGATAACAGTCAATTCTCATCCTTCTTTCATTGTTAAATCAGACAAAATCTCTAAAGCCTTTTTAACCCATCAAGTAACATTTTATATCACATTTAAACCTGACTCTAGCTTTCTTTCTAGGCCAAGTTGGTTCCCATATTAAAACTTTTTGATTATCAAACCTCAAACTTTGGTTACAAAAGTTTCTAATCAATTCAAACAGCAAAATTTTCTTCTCTTCCTGGCAATATCATCTGAGTGTTATATTGACTTTTATTCCATATTATAATTGTAAATAAGTTATCCGCTTTGTTGTGGTTTCCAGAAAGTTGTATCTGAGTGTCAATCTTTGTAGTTTTCAGTAGTTGAACTGAATCAGTTACAGTTACTTCTTGATCATCCAAGTTATCCATCCGTTGTAGGTAACGTTGTGTAGAATTGGTTGGCTCAGTGGTTACCACCTTTTCTCCCAGCGTAAATTCACCATTGGGTTGTAANCAGCTGCAGATTGCAGCCTAACACGTAGGAATGAAGAAGTGTAGGTTTAAGCATACTGAAGGTTACAAGATGGAGTGACTTATGCTATATTCCAACATCTCCTCCTTTTTTGTTTTTTAAGCTTAAACCCAAAAGTCTTTTGGTTGCATTTCATACATGCTGGTACTATGCAGACTAAAGTTTGCCAAGTCATCTTTATGTTCTGATTCGTTGGTCAGTTCGATAAATGGGTTGGCTTTAAATGTATTATTTGTTCCTTCAGTTGATAACTCAGGATGGGACAGTCTGTCTCCTGTATTGATGTCATCATGGTCAGCTTCCATAGTTAAAAGATGATATCGTACCGGGTCAGAGCGTTGCCATAAAGCCATTACTTGAGCTGTTGCACGTTTTTCTGCTAACAAAGATAAACTATTCGACATGATTTTTACAAAAATGGGTAAAACACAAGGTATTACAATACAACCTGAAGCAATCAGTCCAATTAAAGCTACAATAGCTTGGAGTCCAGGAAGTTAGGGGAACCAAGAACCAAACATTTCATGAAAATCAAAGCCGTTCCAAGTTTGGACAGGAACATGAGCAATTTTTACCATTCTATCAGCGATTTCCCCAACAACATTACCACTGTCATCAATTTCAATACAACAATTTGTAAGATTAAATTTCCCACATACACCTCCTTCTTTTCCTAACAAATAATCTAAAGCTAAACGATTTTGCATAATATATGTGCGTGAGCGAGCGCTTTCTTTGGCTGAATGCTTCATAGCTAAAATAGTTTCATTAGTTATAATTTCAACAACAGCTTGCAATCTTATAATACGATTAAGCATATAAATCGGGGTGCGATAGCCATATGTTCCATCTTCGGCCCAAGTAGCAGGTCCATAATATTGGATAATTCTTTCTGGGGGCCATTCATTATCTGTCCATTTGCCTTTGTGTATATCTTTGGTACTTTGTTTATTTCTGATGTTGCCAATGTTCTCATAGACTGGGACACCTAAGTCCTGTCGTTGCTTAAGAGGCAATAGGAAAAAACCGGGGCGGATGGTTGCTAAAATACAAGAACCAAACCATGTTGATGGTAGTTTGTTATAGGCAAATTGACCACAGACCCAATATAAACCATCTGGTGTTATCCATTCAATATTTTTTTCTGGAGTTGAGAGAAAGGTCATGTTTGGCATGGTTTCTAGGGATTTATTTGGGATGGTTTGATTGTTCCCTGACCACCAGGTGCCATTGTTCCATATACCTAGACACCTTAGAGAACCTGCATTAAATGTGCGATTTGCTGTTTGATTTCTTTGATAGCAAATATTGCCTACTAAATTTGTGGTGATTGCCCATATCTCTTCCCCTGTTTGTTTATAAGAATAGTTAGTGTGGTGGGCAGCTATGTAGGTATAATTGACCTCTTGA